TCTAGGACAGGGAGTCCTTCCTGCCGAACGGAAAGAGCGGCTGCAGGCGGAGTACCAAAGACTGAACTCGGCAAACCTTTTGAAGGAGATAAACAGGGAGTTGGAACGCATGTGGCAACTAATGTGGTTAACCCAGGTCTACTGCTCAAAGTAACACCAAATTTGGGGCATTATATTGCCCTTGGGTAACAGTTTCTTTTGAGGCAATACAAGTGGTTGCAGCATCCCGAAATGGCAGTTACCCTTGTGGTTCACTTTGCCCGTTGGCAAAGGCAACGACCGGTTACCAGACCAGCACAATAGACAGGGTGATAAGGAGCCCATGTTGATGGTTGAACACGACGTCAGTTCTATCGTTTCCAGCACCCAGGCCTATTACGACGGCCCTGCCGACGAAATCTACCGCACCATCTGGGGCGACAATCTCCATTTGGGCGTACCTTGCAGCGACGAATGCTCCCACCCGGAGGCCATGGAGCATGCTAACGAGATTATGGCCGGCGCGGTCCACCTGGAAGCGGACACGCGGGTCCTGGATTTGGGTTGCGGCTATGGTTCGACGGCCAGATACCTGGCGGCGAACTTCGGGTGCCCGGTAACCGGGACCAACATCAGCGAGAAGGAACTGGACCTGGCTCGCGAACGCGCGTCTGAGGCGGGACTGACCCATCTATTGACCTTTGAGTACGAGGACTTCCACAGGCTGGCCTACCCGGAAGGCTCGTACGACGTAGTCTGGAGCCAGGAAGCATTCCTACACGCGGCTGACAGGAACGCAGTACTGTCGGAATGCCGCCGGGTGCTGAAGCCGAATGGTTCTCTGATTTTTACAGACATTCTAGTATGCCGGGACACGCCGGCTGAGGACAGGGAAAGGATTTACGACCGGGTGAAGTCGCCTGACATGTGGGACATGGAAGATTACCGGTCAGCCCTCTCCCGGCTGTATCTTCCCGTAACCAGGGTAGAAGATTGGTCCCAACACGTAGCTCGCTCCTACGGCTGGGTCCGGGATCGGCTCCGAGAGAATCGGGAAGCTCTCCTGGCGCGCATAGGTGCGGACACCATTGACCGTACCCTTGAGGCCCTTTCATTCTGGGTCAAGTCGGCCAATGCGGGCTACATCGGCTGGGCGATGTTTGTGGCAAAAAAACCCGTGTAGATTTTCTTGCCGCCGCTGGCGAAGCCCGTACGCGAGGGGTTACGGTCTGAATCTCTCCTACCCGCCGGGCCAATCCATGCCTGTCGGCGCTGGAGGCGCTTTTGCACCATCACTAAATCCCAAAGATTTGGCGGAAAGAGAAACGAACCCTCACTTCTCATCCCCCGCTCTAGCCACGCGCTAGCTTGCATACTTACTGTGCGTGTAACCGCACTGAGATCAGCCCAGAGGCAAGCAAGCTCCAGAATTAACCTCTAGGCTAGACCTCAGTACCAATAGGGAGTCCTGTATGACTGAATCCGATAAAATCCTGGTGCCCAAGGATCTGTACAAAGAGCAGTATTCTCCGGAGTTCGCCGGGCGCTGGGACGAACTGATTGACTGGCAACGCAGGGGGGAAGCGGAGAACAACTTTTTCCAGGACATTTTGAAAGGACATGGAGTCGAGACGGTTTTGGATATCGCATGTGGCACCGGATTCCACTCAGTTACTCTGAAAGCCGACGGTTTCCAAGTCACGGCCGCAGATGGCGCGCCCAACATGCTGGTCTGGACCAGGCAGAACGCCCAACGTTTGGGAATCGGCGACCTGCGCATTGTGGAGGCCGAGTGGACCAGGCTCGGTGAGTCCTTTGCGGGAGAGCAATTCGACGCCGTAATTTGCCTGGGAAACGCCTTTACCCACCTGTTTGACGAAGGGGACAGGATCAAGGCCCTCAGCGAGATGTACAAACTGCTAACCAGGGACGGCATCGCAATCATTGATCAGCGAAACTACGATGCCATTCTGGACAACGGCTTCTCCAGCAAGCACCAGTCCTACTACTTGGGCGAGAAGGTTGAAGTGAGACCAGAGTACTTGAGCGAAGACCTCCTGACGATGCGCTACAAATACGAGGACGGTGAAGTCCATTTTCTGACACTCTGCCCCATACGCCAGGAATACGTGACCAACCTGCTCCTAGACGCCGGCTTCCGCAGCGTGAAGCGTTATGGCGACTTTGTAGAAAACTACGACCTCTATGAACCGGACTTCGTGATACAAGTCGCCAGGAAGTAATTCGGGGCATGGTTGTGCCTACCCCGCGCAAATCGACCATCAGCATACTCTTGCTGGGACGTCCAATTCTGGTGAGCGCCAAGTCGATATAGGCCGCATCCCGCAGCTCATTCCGACCAGCCAGTTCGGGCGACGGGGTACCCGCACCCTGGGCACAAGGGTTGCGAATGGGATCCATCCCAACAACCCGACGCTGGTGGTCTTCGCCAGCACCGGCCACACCTTCGCTAACGGCAGCCGCCTCACGGTGGATCTGAGCCCTGCGGAGAACCAGGTCGATCTGTTCCCCAAGGCCCCCATCGGGGAGCCGGCGCACCGGGGAATCGCCCATAGGAGTAACTTGGCTGCGGTCAAAGCGCCAAGTTGACAACAAACTGTTGCTGTGCTGGAATGGCCCTATTCCAGGTTGCCGGCAAGTTGCAGCAGTATCTTTCGCAGATAGCGCCGATAGATAGATAGGGGGGAGTATGACTACCGAAAAGTCCAGTAACGGCAAGTGCTTCGTTTACGTGGGCCTGGCAGGCGAGACCGCCCCCGGGAGAGTCATAGCCAGCGGCCTGTACCGCATGGCCAAGGGGGATGACCGGTGGGATCTGCTTGGCAACGGCCTTCCCGGGTCGCCCGCCATCAGGGCCATCGCAATCCACCCCGAGCGGTCCAACACAGTGTTCGTCGGCACCCAGGACGGTCCATACCGGACCGAGGACCACGGCGACCACTGGGAAAAGGTCAACGTGCCGGATCACGGTCTGCCGGTGTGGTCGCTGCTCTTCCACCCCCGGGACCCCAACGTCATGTTCGCTGGTTACGAATCGTCGGAGATATACCGGAGCGACGATGGTGGCGAGCGTTGGCAACAGCTTCCCGTGAGCGTCCGTTTCCCCGAGGTGACGGTGGGACCCGGCGCCAACCTGGCCAAGCGGGTGCTGCAGATTGCCGGCGTCCCTGCCAACACCGATGAGTTGTACGGCGCCATCGAGGTTGGCGGGATCATTCGTACCCTGGATGGCGGCGAACACTGGGAGCAGCTCAGCCACGGGCAGTACGTCAACGACGACCCGGTCGACATGCACGGGGTGCTGGCCAGCACCTTCCGGCCCGGCAGTGTGCTTGGTATTGGCCGTGCCGGTATGTTCCGGAGCACCGACAAGGGCGACCACTGGGCCAGGGTCCAGCTGGACCCCTTGAACGAAAAGGGGCAGACCTACTGCCGCCAGATCCGCGAGGTGCCCGGTGATCCCAAGACCATCTGGGTAGCCGCCGGCGCCAATTTTATGAGCGACCATGGCGTGCTGTTCCGGAGCCGGGACGGCGGCGTGAGTTGGGACAGAGTGGACACCGGCTTCCAGCCCAATAGCACGTTGTTCGGCCTCGCCTTCAACGAGCGTCACCCCAGCGACATGTATTGCGCCTCCAACAACGGACAGGTCTGGGGAAGCAGCGACAGCGGCGAGACCTGGACGGACCACCCCCTGCCCGAAGGGGCCCGGCAGGTCTACTCCATGGCCTGCGGATAGAGCAACCCAGACAGGGCGGCGTAGTCGGCCAAGGCAGCGCCGCCCCCTTACAGCCGCAGGCTATATGCAGATACCCTGACCCGGGTCCGTAACTGTGCAGGCTTCAGGGCTATCTTCTGAGCACATCCTGCGGCATCCGCTTGCGCAGTCTGGGTTCGGCAACCAACTGCCGGAGCATGCGGTTCTACTCCTCCGGACTCTTGGGCCTTCTGACCTCGGCCACCGCCATGCATTGCAACTTCTCTTTCCACCGCCAAAAGGTACGCTGTTGACGGTCGGCTCTCTAATGCCCATCTTGCGGCAGATCTTTGACGCAGGCGTGGCCTCCTTCGCCTGGCGCAGGCCGAAGGACACCTGTTCAGGGCCGCACCGGGACTTCTTCGTGGAACACTCCTTCTATTCCATGAGTTCAAATCTCCCGACAGAACTCGCATTCAGGCTGGTCCAGATTTCGGGAGCGGATTAATAAGGAAAGAATGAACAAGGTAGTGACTGACACTTTCAGTAAAAGACTGTGCTCGGGAAGACTTGGCTGAAATAGCACTTTCACGGCCACTGGCATTCGCCGGGATAAGAAGGACTTCATACTTGATGGGAACCGTATCCTCCGAGTTGCATACCTGTTTCATAAACGCCCCATTAACGAACTGTCAGGTTACCGTCAGAGTCCAGGGCAATCGCGTCTTAACCCGAATCCACCGATGGGAGGCGTGAAGGCCAGGCAAGTTGGGATGAGGGAGCCTACCAGGGAGAAAGCCTGGGCTCCATGGGGACCGATGTGACACGGCAGAGGGTTTTCAGTAGCCGCACCGGGCTTCGAGAGCGGTCTGGGAACGCTGGGAATCGCGTGATAGTGACATTGGACGCAGCAGGATACGCTCGCGGCGCGGGCGGACGCGAGTTTGGAGGCGTTGGGTCGGTTGCGGATAGCGCCGTCAGGACGGGAGCGGCAGGGCGCGCAATCGGGCCAGGGCGCGGCTGAACTGCTCCTCCCAGGGCCAGCCCCGGGGAAGATGCAAAGTGAGTCTGCGCGCCGAGCGGGTAAGCCGTCCGGCCATAGAGAAGAAGCGTCGCCGCAGGGTCTTGGTGGTCACCAGTTGCTCGCCCAGACCGATGCGCGCTGCCCAACGGGCCAGATTATGCGCCAGCACCTGGACGGCCAGCCAGGCGCCGTTGGCGCAGAAGCGGCCCGAGGGGAGATGGTTGAGCCCCACGCCGTACTTCAGGTCCCGGATGGCATTCTCGATCTCGGCGTGGCGGCGGTGGTCGGCCTCCAGTTCCAGGGTGTCGCCGTCGCGGTCGGTGATGAAGGCGTGATAGCTGTAGCTGGCGAAGAGGGCCAACTGGGAACCGGGCGTGGGCTTCACCCGCCGGACGATGAGCCGCACCGGCGCAGCATCGGGCTCGCTACGGAAAGGTGTGTATTCAGCCTCGGCCACGTCGGCGGCGCCGTCCATCCAATAGGGGATGGGCCTCCAGGCATCCTCAGGTATGGCCTCGATGAGCTTGCGCAACTGGGCGTGCTGGCGCACGGTGATGGAGAAGCGGACCTTCATCTTGCGGCAGAGGGCGACGATGGAATGGGTGTAGAAGCCGCTGTCGGCCCGCACCGTGAGTTGCCCCCTGGCCCCGGCATAACGCACCCGTCCCACCGTCTCCCGCAGGAAGTGGGCGGCGCCCCGGGCGGTGTTGGACCGGCCCTCCCGCAGACGGGACATCAGCACGTCGCCGGTTCCGGCGGCCACGGCCAGCAACGGGTGATAGCCCCGCTGGCCGGTGTAGCCATGGTGTCGCGCCCCCTCCTTGGCCAGCCCGTAGGTCTCGCAGATGGTGGAGTCCAGGTCGATGGTCAACGGCCCGTCGCCGGGTCCGGCACCGGCGGCCCAGGAACGGGCCAGCAACTCGCGGCTTACTCGGTCCAACTGGCGGACGTGGCCCCACCGGAAGCTGCGCAGGAAAGTGCCCAAGGTGGAGGGCGCTTTGACCATGCACCCCAGCACTGAGGAGGTCCGCCCCGCACGCAGCGCATCGGCGTCGTCAATGCAGTCGCCACCAGCCAGGGCGGAGGCCACCAGCGTCATTATCTTGTCTCCGGTGTTGGCTCGGCCTGGGGCCCGGCCCAGGTCCAAATACCGGTCAACCAGTTGGGGTAAGCCCAGGTGCTGGGCCAGGATGGCCGGAAGGATCAGCCCGGCATTGTTGACCAGGCGGTGGTCGTCGAAGGCGATTTGGATGCGGTCGGGGTGCCCAAGTGGTAGCATCTAAAAGGTGCTCCTTTTCCGGGGTCGGTTTTCCGATCAAAAACCATTATCCCAGATTCAGGGGAGCACCATCTTACCCCTTCAGCACCTCTTTATTCCCCACTCCTTCGGTGGATTCGGGCTTAACTGAGGAGAACCTTTAGCAGGTAATCTTCTCTCCAGCCGGCTTGCAGGCGCCAAGCCCCAGCCAGTTGTCCGGGGTTGGGTTGCTCTATGTTGACTGGTACGACGGGCCCAGCGTGCTCGCGGCCATGGAGACGGCCGAATCTTTAGGCGTCCCGGTTTTCCTCAACCTGGAGTCGCAGTACAGCAGAAACCCCTCGCTTTCAGACCCGATGCGATACGCCACCATCTGCCAGGTATCAATGGACGAACCGGGATCATCCGGAAATCCGGTTGACACCGCTCGCTCGTTGATCAACCTGGGAATGGAAATTGTGCTGGTGACCCTCGGCGCGGAGGGCTGCATTGTTGCCCAAGGGCGGCAGGCTTATTGCATCAAGGAGCCGCGGGTAAAGGTGGTTGACTGCTACGGGGCCGGTGCCGCCTTTTCGGCCGGCATCATTTACGGTCACCGGGCAGGATGGCCGCTGGAAAGCAGCGCCCGGTTCGCCGCGGCCTACGCCGGGCTC